TATTGCCACTTAAAAGAGTGTCTGTACTGAAGCCCTCGATTTTAAGGTAGAGAGTATACAAATCCTCACTAGAGCGCTCTTAACTACTTAGCAGGGCTCTGTTAAGTATCATTTCAATCGACTGTAATATCGTTCTTCTGATTCAAAGAAGGCAAGTTATTATGTTTTCGTCATGGTTGGTTGGATCCCCTGGGGGTATCGCTATTCAATATTCAACTCTTACAATATTCAATTCTCACATTTTCCTCAATCCTTTCCTGATTCAATTATCAATGAATATAAATTTCCTACAATCTTGAACTTTGTTTTACAGTCATCTTCGGCATTCGATATTGAATGTCAATAACTTTTTTTGTTTTGAAATTTAAAATTCAAATAATCAAAATTCATGAGTCACATTTTCCAATATTATCATATTTCATTGGAAATTGACATTTGTCTATTTTCATCGAGATTTTGCGGCATTTCGTTTTTTGTTTCGGCATTGCTGTTGTTTTGAAATTCAAATCGAACTAAGAGGCATTATTCCATTTTGAACATGAGTGTGTGTTAGTGCTTTTGGCTGTGTCGTAGTGTTTTTAGTGATGACTCGTTTATTTTTTTTCTTTTTTTTTTTTGTATTTCGATGAATCATTGAGCCGTTGGGAGTAGCTTAAATTGTCAATTCTATTAAAATGCATTGTTTTTGTTTGTTTGTTATGTTCCATTGTGAATTGTTTAATAGATAAATGTGTGTATGTAGCCGACAACAAATTGATTTAATTGTCCCTTTTTTATTATTTGTTCCGGTAATTTGTTAAAAATTGCTTTATGGGTCAATTAATTGTCCAGAATAACTTTGAACTTTATTCATGACGGAAGTGCAGTGATTTGTACTGATTTGTGTGATTAAAAACAATCATTAAATTTTTATTACAGAAAAAAAACGTAATAATTTTAGAATTGAAATTGAATTGAATTTACAGGTTTATAAAAGTATAACATTGACATTATTGTTTAAGAGTGTTGCGAAGTAGATTCAAACTTTTGGCTAATTTTTTAATCCGCATTTGAATTGTAAGGAAGAAAAAATTAACTAATTTTCAGTCAATGCCTAACCAAGTAGTTTGAGTAAATTCATGTTGTCTCAGAATATCTATGCATATACAAATCAGTTGCATTGTGTTAGAAATTGATGTCCCCTGGAATGCGTGAACCAATTTTGTTTCTGCAAATTTCATATAAATGATGACGTCAATTCCGAGGTTTTTTATACGCTCAGGCAGTCCTATATGGCTACAGAGGGTATATTAAATTTGATATAGCCAAAATGTGCCTCATCAAAGTAACGGTTTTGGACCCTTGGTCTGTTTGGACCCAATCCGTTTCAGAACATTTAGAATCGATCTAGCGGTGTCCGTGAATAAAAAAAAAACAATTCTAAAATGCGAATGGATTATCCGATTCTCTTCAATTACATAAATCCCAATATTTCCACTAATACAAGATCTGATGTGTAGATGGAATGTATCGGATAACTTCTTCTGGTACCTTCCCCACAAAGCGGAAAAAAATGGGAAACAAACCAGCGATTCTTTTCAAACTTGGTTAATCGTAATATTTTTCGCAACCTGATATGAATATGGAATTTATCGGCCCCCTTCTGATAACTCTCTCACACGGGGTCAAGATTTTGATTAATTATAACCCTTGAAACATGCGACAACAAGTCTTATTGATCATTGCTAGTGTGTATGTTTGATATTTTTGGGTTGTTTTGGAAATATGTCCTACAAATGTACGAAAACTACTAAATGGTATTAAATCTGGTATCTATATAGTAAGGTAGGTAGTGAGCTTAAATTGTGAAATTTAAATTGAGGGTCGCTGATGGGGTGTAGGATAAATGTACCAAACTTAACTACATGTGTACAAAAAGTACTTAAAACTAGTTAAAAAGTATTAGCCGGTTTTGCCGACAGATGTATACCCTCAGCCAATGTTCGATTATTTGAATATATTTGGACTTGTGTTATGATTATTCAAATTGTTGACCCTCTATGGAGTAGGTTCCGAAGCAATGGCCAATATTGTCCATTTCGTATCGGATCTAAATCAATGTGATATAAATATTTCGCCGTGCCAGGTTTGGACAACATTGGTTACTTCGTTCACTTTATATGAGATTTGTGATAATTTTGAGAAAATTGTGCATTGTGTTGAAATGTGCATGAGGTACCAGATATAGTCGACCGAAGAATTGCGGTCATACTTCATCATACTTCATCTAATACAGATAAAAATATTTAAAAAAAAAAACAGATCTTGCGTTAGCAAAAATGTTTGTGTGTCTGCAATTTGAAGAGAGTTGAATGCTTATTTCGCTTTCTTTGATCGTTTTGTTTTTCAAAAGCTTGTACCAAGTCTAGATAGAAACGGATGTTAATTTCGCGTTTTATGAGCTTCATGGGGATTCAAATTTTTGAGCCTTTGTGGGAAAGGTACAAGAAGGACTGGTCCGATATATCCCAGACCTTGGGTTTATAAAAATATTAGGATGTGTGAAATATTATTTTAAATATTTTTTAAAATTAGTCCAGTGACAGCTTATTATATTGTTTACAAGCGTACCAAAGCATTTTGGTGAGGATTTTCCAGAAAAAAAAGTTATTCGTGGTGTAATTCAAGCGTGATTTCTTTTAATTTTTTTGGTGGAAAACCACAATTGGCTATCGTTAGAGCACTCCACCATTTAAATGTGAATAAATCTTTTGTTTCGTAATACTGATACTGGTAGCGTAGCCAGACGTCAAGGAAGTGCACGGAAGAAAACAGCAACATCAGCAGAAATGGTTCGAAAACTAAAGAAGCGACTTGATCGAAATCGAAATAGCAGTGGCCGAAAAATGGCTCATGAGCTAAACATATCGCAATATTCCATTCGGCAATTATTGAAAAATGAGCTCGAGGTAAAGCCATTGAAATTTACAAAAGTGCAAGAACTTACACCCCAACAGAAAGAAAATAGACTCAAAAGAGCTAAAGAGTTGCTTCGCTTGGCCGAAAGTGGTGAACTGCCAAATTTGGTTTGGTGGTCTCCGATGAGAAAACGTTCGTTGTCCAGCAGTTTGTAAACAAACAAAATGATCGTGTTTACTTGCCAAAGGGGTCAGCTGAAAATCTGCACCTTCGGTTGGCCACCAGAATTCAAGCGCCGGCCATGGTAATGGTGTGGGCCGCCATAATAGCCGATGGTCGCTCTCTGTTCATATTAATCGACCGTGGCATCAGAATAAATGCCGAATGTTATCGCCAAAAATATTCTGGAGGGTGTATTAAAGCCTTGGGCACGCAAACATTTTGGTCGCAGACCTTGGACATTCCAATAGGACTCAGCACCATCGCACCTGGCACGCACCACCAAAGAATGGTTACAAAATGATGTTCCTCGCTTCATTTCCAGAGCATGATAGCCACCAAAATCTCCGGCTACCAATCCGTTGGACTATTGTGTCTGGAGTATTTTGGTTGGCACTAAAAAATACCAAAGTGTCGATCACCTCAAGCAAGCGCTTCGCCGGGAATTGGCCAAAATACGGCAGAGCAACATTCGGGCAGCGTGTGACGGTAATTCGTATCAAATTCGAACAAACCTAAACTTATTCTAAAATTTGATGCTATTTTATTGGATAAAATTTTTTAAAAAAAGTAAAAATTATGGGGTTTGACTTTGTTGCAGTTTTTTATCTCACCCTATATTCCATTTTAACGCCAGACCTTGGTATAACAAACATATTGAGATGTGTACATTTTGAAGACAATCAGGCTCTTACATCTCATTTTATAAGAGTTATGATTATACAAAATTTTGACCCCTGTTGGGGGAGGTACTTGATGGAGCGGACTGATATTGTCCATTTTTGCACTGATGCAAATATTTGGATTTGCAAAGTTAAAGCAAAATCTGATCATCCTTTCTCTTTGTGTGCAGGAAAATATTTTCTTTGCAAAGTTCGACTTTTTGTGGGGACATACCAGAAGGAGTGAACCAATATTGCCCATCTTCGAGCTTGATCTAATTTTGATAATAATATTACGATGTACCAAGCTTGGAGTAAATCGGATACTCCCTTCGAGAGTTATCGTGCGCACCAGTCGGACAGAAAGAAGGACGGACGGACATTGCTAGATCGACTCCAAAGGTCCTGAATCGGATTTGGTTCAAAGGTTCTTCGATGAGGCACGCTGTGGCCGTATCAAATGATATATTCCCTCTCTAACCATATCCCTGAGGGTATAAAAAAAATCCGCTAACAATTCTGTTAAAATCTTAAGAATACATAATATAGGGAGTTACCTTTATATTGAGGTCCATACGAAAACATGGATGTGCACAGGTAATAGCCATTATAGTATTCAAATACGAAACTTGAAGCAATTCCTGTGAATAATGTCGCAAAAACATCATAATACCGAAGACCTGTATCTGCTTAGACAATTTTTTGTCATAGACTGTTGTGCCCATTAGGAACTTCAAATTCGAAATTGGAAACAAATTCAGTGTATAATGTCGCTAAAATTATCAAAATACCGAATAAAGGCAGGTACCGATATATGGAGGCTATACGAACACCTGGATCTGCGTAGACATTTTTCCGTTACAGGCTGTAGTATCCATTACTAAATGCTGTGAAATGACATTTATATCTAGAATCCTGAATTTTTTAATGTAGGGCGATTTTGGTTTTGTGACAGTGAGATACGAACGGTTTGATCTTGATCCACTTGTCCATCCTGCTTGGAATCAGGATCTTTATATAGTGAAACATCATTATAAGTGATGTGTAGTCCAGTTTTAGATCCGTTTTTTTTTTGCATGCGATCAGATATATATTTTAGGGTCGAAATTTCTATTTTAAGCAGCTCTCTTTAATAAATGTATGCATTAAAATTGTATTTTATACTGCTACTGTCCTGAATTGTTAAATGAAATTTAATAATATTTTAATTTTTCTTTTCAGTAAAAAAACAAAGTCTGTCATGGTCTAAGCTTCCAATGTCAATGTCAGCCCTGAAAAATATTATAATTACATTCTAAAAATTTGAAAAGCCTTCACAAAGCGTTGAAGCAAAAAATCAATTACAATAATTTTTGGAAAAAAACGAAAGAAAGCAGCAACGAAGTGCCATCTGTTACCCGAATTTCAATTAGAGGTCAAGAATAAAAGAAACGAGCCAATAATATAAGAAATCAATAAATTATCAAAAAAAAACAAAAAAAAAAAAAAAAAAAAAAGAAGAAAAACAAACGAAACCATTGGAAATTGTTTTATAAGCTACAACAACAAACGAATTTATTTAACACCCAAAAAACAGAAAAAGCATATCAAGAAGGAAAGCAATTTATAAAACATATCCGTTTCATTGCTGAGAGAGAGAGAGTGTGCGAAGTTCTATTTGCTGTCCATTTTCGTTAACGTCAACCCAAACCCCATATCTCTTGTGTGTGTGTGTGTGTGTGTGTGGCTATCTGTGCGTTTCTTTACTGCTGCCTACCAACCACCACCACTCCAACCGCCCTGTATATGAGCTCTCGTCGCAAGTCCACCGGTCTCATATGGCATCTGCGAAAATCTCTCTATACGCGTAGTACGAAAAAAATGAAAACAATTTCATGATACTATAAGTGGTCGGAATCAGTGATATTAAATTATTTAAAAATGCCTTCAACACCGTACGATTTGGTGCAGGACGATCAGGATTTGAGGGTGCCATTGCATGCCGAACAGGCCTTCTTCAATGGCATAACATTTCAAGCTAAGGTAAGTTGATATTATTTTTCGATATTTACATGTTTGAATATAGTTAGGATTGAAAACAAATGTTTTATGTGATGTTATATACATATGTGTATATATTTAAGAATATTTTGGATATTTGTATATTTTTGAGAAGTTGAGGCGAATTTTTTTATAAATATGTGGAAAACACACCGGTATTTGTTTCAAAAAATTAATTTCTGATCTGGGAACTCTTCAAAAATATACCTCACATAACCTTTTAAGAATGTCCTATAAAATGCAGGGATGTAAACAAGCTATGACGCATGAGCCGATCTTTGATACATAAATTCAAGTTGACACTACCTTAGAATATCTCGAAAATTATATTACGGATAGAGTCACATGTGAAGTTATTATTCAGCGTTTGATAGCATACTTTTAAGCATTTTCAATTCACAATTCTAAAAATGGCTTTATTTTTGAAATAAAAATTGTGGGTAGGGCCTAAAAGTATTCTATGAAAATGCCGAAAATAACAGTGGAAAATTCACTTAATATGTGGCTCCAACATTATGTGTAAACTAGTCTGTAGACATTTAAATGCTGTTCAGTGGCAATTTCGACTACATTTCAAATTTTTGAAGTTTTTATACCCTCCACCATATTATGGAAGGTTTATTAACTTTGTCTTTCCGTTTGTTACTCCTCGAAATACTCATGTCAGACCCAACAAAGTATATATATTCTTAATCAGCGTAAAATTCTAAGTCGATTTAGTGGTGTCCGTCTGTCTGTCTGTGTGTCTGTTGTAATCACGCTATCTTTCGAACGAATTGAGATAGACGGCTAAAATTTTGCACACATGTTTATTTTGCCAGTAGGCAGGTTAAGTTCGTAAATGAGTCATGTAGGTCCACGTTTTCATATTTCCCTCGCATAACATTACCTCCCGATATTCGGTATTTGGATGATTTTAGCGACATTATTCACCGGAATTGTTTAAAATTTGGTATTTGAAGTTCGTAATGGAAGATACAGCCTATGACAGAAAAATTTCTGTGCAGATTCAGGCCTTCGTATAGGACCCATCCCTATATTCGATATTTTGACGATTTTAGGTACAATACTCAGCAAAATTGTTTGAGATGTTGTATTTGAAGTTCGTAATGGATGCTACAGCCTGTGACAGAAAATTGTCTATGCAGGTCCACGTCTTCGTGTAGCTCCGATAAAACGGTACCTCCCTATATTCGATATTTTGATGATTTTAGCGACATTATTCACCGGAATTGTTTCAAATTTGGTATGTGGAGTTCGTAATGGATACTACAGCCTATGACAGAAAATTATCTGTGCAGGTCCAGGCCTTCGTATAGGCCCCATATATCAGTACCTCCCTGTATTCGGTATTTTGACGATTTTAGGTACAATACTCACCGAAATTGTTTGAGATGTCGTATTTGAAGTTCGTTATGGATGCTACAGCCTGTGACAGAAAATTGTCTATGCAGGTCCACGTCTTCGTGTAGCTCCGATATAACGGTACCTCCTTATTTACGGTATTTTGATGATTTTAGCTATATTATGCACCGTTTATTTCAAGTTTCGAATTTGAATATGGTAATGGGTTATGACATACAAAGCGGATTTTTTTTTTGAAAATTTCCAAATGCGTTCCAAATGGTGGAGGGTATTCAAATTTCGGCCCGGCCGAACTTACTGCTTTTTTACTTTTTTTTAGTTAAATAAATTGTTTTCAAATAATTGAAATGGTATTTTTTGGCACTCACTGGTATCGACATAGAGAAAAAGTTTCCTAAAATTTTAAGTCGACTGCTACAGGGTTGTCCATATTCGACGGACCCATCTGGCAACGCCATAACTTTTGACAAAGATGTCACATCGCTTAATGACATACCGCGTTTGAAGCGTCAGTCCATCAGATTTTTACCATGAACCAATACACGCCACGCGAGCGCTCTGAAACAGTTGAAATTTACATTCAACAGAAGAAATCAGTTGTGACAACTCAACGTGCTTTTAAAACATTAAAAAATGTGAGAAGTGCTAAAGTGGTAAAGCTCTTTCTAATCCGAAGAGGCCATATAAAAGTCGACCAAGGCGATCGGCCGAGAATATCGCTGCCGTACGAGCCAGTGTTGAGAGGTCCCCAAGAACATCCCAAAAACACCGTTCTTAGCAGTTGGGCATGGCTCGGTTCACTTTACAACGGATTATTCGCATTGATTTGCATTTGTTCCCGTACAAAATTCAATTGACGCAAAGAATGTTGCCTTCGGACAAGCCTCGTCGATTGGAATGGGCCCAAAAAAAACATGGGTCCGTCGAATATGGGCAACCCTGTACTTCACAACCTTGCCGAGACAACCGAAATAGGTCTAAGTATTTTTCGTACCAGGTTCGTATTTCCTGAGACCCTTTGGAACATCTATGCTACACTCCACCAGTGACTCCTCATTCCAAACGAACTCTGTTTGCCCGTCTGTTGTAACCACGCTAGAGTCAAAACAAATTAAGATAGGAAGCTACAATTTTGCACAGATCTCTCTTTTGTCTGCAGGCAGGTCAAGTTCGAAGATTGGCTATATAAATTACGTTTTTAGATTCACGTCTTCCTGTAGCCCCCATATAACGATATCACCCGATATTCGATATTTTGATAATTTTAGGGACAATATTCACCGGAATTGTTTGAAATTTCATATGTGAAGCTCGTAATGGTTACTACATCCTATGGCGAAATTTTTTTTTTTTTCAAATAAATACGAAGAAAAAGAAAGTTCGTAATGGGTACTACTGCCTATAACAAAAAATTATATGTGCAGGACCATGTCTTCGTATAGCCCCCATATAACGCCCTTTTTGAGCGGTTATTATGAGATGTTGTTAAAAGTTCGCCCGGCCCGGAACTTAGCTCCGTTTTTAGTTTTCAATTTCGAAATTTGTCGGCAAGTTAGCAACTAAATTAATTAGTCGGTAAGACCTAAATAGATGAAAATTTTAGTCCGTAACGGTAAAAAATGTTTGAGAATTCTACTACCTTTTTTTTTGGAAATATTCACCATTTTAGTAATTTTATGTAGACTAGTCTAAGTCTAGCGAGTCTAGACATTAACAATCAGTGATTTAATAATAAATACAATTTTTTCTCTGTAAAGATCTCACCAGAAGAAGTGTTCCGATATTGGCTATTTTTGCATCATATCTAAATATGATACAGGTATTACGAGATAATGAAATCTGTTTCCTTTGTATGTGATTTAGTATATTTCATAAATTTTACCGTTTGTAGGAGAGGTGCTAAAAGCCATCATTTCCTTGTTAGGCGAAGAGGGGCAAAAAAAATCTATTAGCTAAAATTTTTCTTTAAAGCAACAAAAAACATAACATTGTTGTTTTCAAAACTTTTAGCCACATTTTGCTCCAAAGTCGTTATTGGCATTTTTTTGTTGTTGTGTGGAAGTTTATTATGTAGTCATATTGTTGTTTGTTTGTTCTTGTTGTTGTTTGTTGTTGCTCATGTATTATTTCTATGAAGGCAATTGCAAAAAATTGCGACTGTGTGTTTATTCTGGTCAAGTTCATGGTTTATATTTGCATGAAATTTTGGCTATGACCTGGCAAACTTGTTGACTTGTTTTCAAAATAAAGAGCCATAATTTAGCTAAAATAGCTTTGCATGTATTTCGATGTAATTTTCATGGATGCCATCATATGTTGGCGAACATGCACACACCAAATTGGGTATAGTAGGGTGGTTCCTATGGATAAAAGTATTATAGCATTTTATGGTACACTGAGGACAATGTTAGGATGTTTTGTAATTTGGTTTTTGAAGCAGTTTCGGAAGGCACTTTCTAAATTTTAATAAATATTTTAAAAGGACATTACTTTAGAAATCTAAAAGCGCCGAAACTCAATATTTAAGGAGTTATGGCCATTTTAAAATATGTAATAATTCATGACGAAGAAAGTGATCACAAATAATTGCTAAAAGCGCCGAAAACTCTATATTTAAGGAGTTATGGCCATTTTAAACCCTTTTTATTTATTTTTTTTAACTACTGTTTGCAATAAAAGATTCAGCGTCAATTTTTCATAAATATTTTTCGAAGTTCCTGGACATTTTTTAGGAAAGTCTAATACAATTTTACCTATATTTTTTGGTTAATTAGATTGATGTCAAATATTAGAACATGTGGTTCACGACCACATTTGACCTCTTTTTAAAAGTTTTCTTTGAAAGTTTGGACCAGTTATCCGAAAATTTGTTACCGCAAATTGAGACATTGAAGAATAGTTTTTAATTGGTTTCAATTAGCAGCTTTTAAAATTGAAAATTTGATAAAATATTTTTTCTGATCAAAACATGATCGGGACACCCGTTGGAAAAAAGATGCGTTTTTTTGCCACAGATTGTAATGGTTAGTGTCATTCTGCAAAAAATTGTGGTTGTAAAAACCTTCGATGTCAATGGTAAGAATTTCGAAATTATGGAGCTTCAAGAAAAAAAAAAAAAAAAAAAAAAATAAAATAAATAAATAAAATAAAATAAAATTTGAGCCTTTGCTGAATAGTCACCAGAAAGAATGGATCGATATAACCAATCTTTAAACCTTTATGGCTAGAGAGGGTATATATCATCCGATACGGCCAAAACGTGCCTTATCGAAATAACAGATTTATTTCTCTTTAAACCAAATCCGTTTTAAAACATTTGGAGTCGATCTAGCGATGTCCGTCCGACCGTTCATCTGTCTGGGAGTACCCGATTTGGTCCAAACTTGGTACATAGCAATATTATTATCAAATATAGATCGAGATCGAGTTCCACTCCTTCTGGCAACTCCCCTACAAAAGTTGGAAATTTTCAAAAAAAAAAAAAAAAAATATAATATTTTACTGCACGGAAGGAGAAAGAATAATCAGATTTTTTCCAACTTTGCAAATTCTAATATTAACATCAGTGCCATGTCAGATGCGAAAATGGACAATAACGGTCCACTCCATCAAGTATC